CCAAACCAAGACAGAATAAGAAGAAAGGCCTGGCAATCTACTTTTAAAAATTAGCCAGTGAAACTTATGGATAAGGACAGAGCATTGTTCTTCTTGCTTACTCTGAGCATGCCATCAGGAGGGATCAATTGTTAGAGGAGGATATCAAGTTTGGTGAAGTAGAAGGCAGAGAGGGTGACAGAAACCCTCAGTGAGATGGATCGGTACGCCACAACAGTGAACTCGGACATGCTGGAGATTGTGAGGATGATGCAGGGCAGGGTAATATTTCCTTCTGTTCTACATAAGGTTGCCATGGGTCAGAGTAGACTTAATAGCAGCTATCTACCTACCTGGCTGGCTGGCTTTCTATCTGCCTCTCTCTCTGCCATATTATAAAAATAATTGGGACCAAATGTACACATTCTATGTAACACTTGGAGAATAAAACACATATATAGTCATAACAATGATATAATAATGGTATAATGTTGATATAGTTAAAATCTTACAGCAAATATCTCTAAATTCAAGTAGACAAAAAATTCTTAATAAAAAATATTAATGTTGGCTGTATACTTTATGCTAAAAAATGAGGTCTCTTTTAGAGGTGATCTATATTATCATTTTTCCTTTTTGGTTATTAAACTAAATGATGTTATTTCACTGGATTCTGTATGTGCTGCAGGTCCTGCTTGGAAAGCATATAACTCGACTCATTTAGAAAGAGGTAATGTGACTATCCAAGAAAAGCTGCCATATGTGAAACCTAGCTTTATGCCTGTTGACATTTTTGTATTTCAAGTCTCCTAGGGACATGTCCATTGTGCTATTGTGTGATTTTTATCAGCATGAACTTCTGCTGAATATTTTTCTTTATTTCAAATCCATATTTTGGTAGAGCTAACTTAAAAACTTACTGTTGCAACATCTGTGCCTATACACCTAGGAACCAGGAAAGATGTGTCTTGAAGATTATCTACATTTTCTAATCTTATAAAATGCTACAAAACAAACAAACACTGGATACTCATTATTTTCTGGTCTAGATTTTTTTTTTAAAGAAAATACTTTCTTCCCCTTTAGAAAGATTCTTAAAATAAAAAGAGAACCAGTATCTCTGAAGCTATAAAGAATATCTGCAAACATATTAGAATCTCATTTGCTTTTATTTGTAGATGAGGGTAATTCTTAATACACATAAGTATAGCTTTTCATTAAGAAACATTGTAAATATCAGGAAAACTTGAATATATATTCTCTAAATGTTTTCAAACAAGATTCTTTAATAAATATAAGAATCAAAAGAATCAATGCAAAATATTCTCCTACTTTCAACATATTTATTACTTTTCTTCTGCAGTTTTTAACAACAGCTCAATAGCAACATTTAAAATTTTTTTTTTTTTAATAGACATTCTGGTTTAACCAGTCTTTCTTAAAAATAAGATTGGGATGTTGGCAAAGAGAAAGGAGCAAATGAATGGAGAGAAATGCCTTCCACCTACTTTTCACTAATTGCCCTATTGTTACAAAATAAAATTTGCAACAATGTTAAGAATTATGAGCTATATAAAAATTGCCTACAGGAGACAATGCACAAATGAAATATGCAGAACAAGTTAGTTTTTAGGAATAATTTAGAACATTGGAAGTTGTTACAGCTTAAAAAGTAGAAAGACAATGAATGGAATTGGGAAATTACATATGTACATCTTTTTGACTTTGTCATCAAATTATCAAATAATGATATTTAACATATACTGGGTGTTTTCCATATGCCAGGTATTGTTGTAAATGCTTTGTATTAATTAATTAAATTTTCACCACAACCCTATGTGATAGTTTTGTCATCACTGTTTTACAGATAAGGAAACTGAGGTACTAAGAGATGAAATGATTTTCCCAGTGTAACACAGCTTGTCAATGGTGGGCAGCCCTAATACAGAGCCCTATTTTAACTATTAATCTACATTGCCTGCATGTCCTTTGGTTACTTTTTAAAAGTATAACAAGACAATAGCTTTTAACTGTTATTTTGAAGCAAAGAATAAGATGATATTCAAGGCATGACCATGTTAAGTATCTATGCTAAAAAAGGAAAAGGAAAACATGGGTAATTTAAGCCCACAGGCAATTTCTGGCTGAGAAATTCATCCTCAAAGTTGATAATAAGCAAGAAGCAAAATTTGGCCTCTACCCACACTATTTGTGTGAAAGAACCTACAAAGAGGAGGTAAAAAGTGGGTATTTAACTCTTCAGAATTAGAGGAGTGTTAAATACTGGGGAAGTCATTGGGGAAAGGGCAACATGTCATTTATTTATTTATTCATTTGCTGAACACAATTTTCTTTTTATAATAATAATTAAAAAAAAAAAAAAAAAAACCCTCACTGCCATCAAGTTGATTCCAATGCATTGTCACCCTACAGTACAGAGTAGAACTTCCTTATAGAGTTTCCAAGGCTTTAAATCTTTATGGAAGCAGACTGCGGCAGAGTGGCTGGTGGGTTTAAACCAGCCTTTTGGTTAGCAGGCAATTGCTTTAACCACTACACCACCAGATTGGTTCCTCTTTACCCTCCAAGTTAAAAAGAGACTAATGAGCCATTTGGCTGCTGACCAGAAGATCAGCAGTTCATATCCATCAGCTGCTATGCAGAAGGGTTCATAAGAGGTCTGGTGGTGCAGTTCCTAAGGCATTTGACTGTTAATGAGAAGGTTGGCAATTAAAACCCATCAGCTGCTCTGTGAAAGGAAGATGGGGCACTCGCTTCATAAAGATTTACAGCCTCAGAAGCCAAATGGAAGTTGCTGTGAGCTGAATGGGCTTTGGTAAAGATTAAAGCCTTGGAAACCCAATGGGTTGCTTTGAGTTGGAATTGACTAGATGACATTGGGTTTGGTTTATTTTTTTTAAGGTACTAGTAGTAAATTTTTTTTTTTCCTATTTGCATTTCTTGAGGCACAATACACAGGGCACATAATTTCTACAATAGAAAAAATAAACAAGCATGGAATGGTACTTTTGATGTACTATTGAAGAGATCAGTACCATATATCTGAATCTAAAGTAAAAGTTGTACAGTTCTACTCTCATTGTCAGACAACAACTACTCCAAATATTCCATTTACTTGACTTGCCAGGAGCAAGGTGTCATGAGTCTGAGCTAGGATTTGCAGCAAAGAAGTTTATTAGAGGCATAGCCATGGAAGAATACTGTGCTGTAAGTGCAGTGGGGGAAAAACGTAGCAAAATCACTAACATGGCTTAGCAATGAAACTTTGTCAATGCTCCAGCTAAGAAGAGTTCATAATTTGGAAGCTGTAGTTTCTATTGACCTGAGTTTATAATTGAGATCATGTCTGCCTTTTAATTTGGAAACAATATTATCACTGTGTCCTGCAAACAATGTTTTTCTAGTTATTACTCTGCAACTGCCTTGAAAATAGGTGTTTATTTAAGGGTAACATGATTTACGATATAGGGTAACAGACAAATTATTGCATGTGCTTCTAGTAAGGTCAGTAACTGCAACCCTCCAAAATGGCTCTCAGATCCCATCATGTTTAGCCACCCGGTTTTCCCTTTCTCCCTGTCACGAATCCCTGTCCCAATCACTTCTGATTGCTCAACAATCCTGGCATCCTCTTGGATTGATGGAAGTTCTAAATGGAAGGGGATAGAAGGATATTCAGGCATATTTCAATTGAAATCATTTAGAAAATACAGTGACTACAAAATAGAAAGTTAAAATTCTCTTCCCTCCTCTGGTGGTGTAGTGCCTAAGGCATTTGACTGCTAACCTCAGAAGGAAGATTGGGCAATTTACTTCCGTAGAAATACCACCTCAGAAACCAAAGGAGGGGTCGCTATGTGCCTGAAATGAGAAGAGTGAGTTTTTGTTGTTGTTATTGCTGTTCTGTTCTGTAAGTGTTAACTCATCCTTAAAAGTTTCAAGCAATAAGGCTTGCGTCTTATCAAAGGACACACAGGTGATGGTCATAGGGCACTGCCCAGGGCCCTCTCCCCATCAGGACCAGCACCACCAAGTTCAAACCAGCCATGTAGCCTTCTGTTCCCAATCCTGTACCCACCATCTCCAATTCCTCAAACTCAGGTGTAAGTATCCCTGCAGGAGGGAGTTAAGTAGGAGGGAGTTAGCAGTCATCTTGGATACATTCTGGCCCACTACTGCTGAATACTGAATTGCTAGCAACATTTTTAAGCCTGCTTTCTTTTATCTTTTAAATCCTTTCTTTCCTGATTCCCTTTGCTTATGTTTTGAATAAACATTCACGTCTCTGCCTACAACTCTGGGGAAGTTTTTCTGGACTGTTGCTACCTACTAAGGAGAAAGTTTTAACCTCCTTAGAAAATTCCCATGACACTTTTAAGAAATTGCTTTATTTTTGGAAATTAAATTTTTCAAGGTCTTCAACAAACACTAAATTTTTCTGATAAGTTTTTTTTTAAAAGATCTTAAAAAGATTTCTATCTTCACTCCAATATATTGAATTCTTGCCCTCAATGCTGTTCTAAAACATTTCCATCTGCATCTTCAGAAGTCATTATAATGTTCACCAGTATTTTAATTTCACTCTATATTACAGTATCTCAATATTAGAAGACAGATTTTGTAATTCATAAAGTTCATATAATGTGCATATTTTGCACAAATTACTTCTTGATTTACTACCATATAAGGAAGACAGAATTAAATCAATATAAAAAGGTTAACCTACTTGTTTTAAATCCATTTCAGATTTTCTATGAACTTTTTCTATAATTTCCACAGGCTTTTTCAATATTATAATTTTAGAAATTAAACTGAACCTATATTAATAATAAAAACTTCTGTACTTTTTGGAAGAGAAAAACATGTGCTACAGATGTCTTCTTTTACTACTTCTAGATTTTATTCTACTTTAAAAAGTAGACTCAGGATTAAATAAATTTTTATTTTCTCCTTACACAAACTGTGATTGAATGAAGATAACTTTTATGGTTAAATTTTTGTCAGGAATCCAAAGAAACTATTCTTGAGACTTTAAGAGCAGTCCTACCAGTTTCACTGCCTTTTTCTTCTTGGTCATCTGCTATCAGAATCACTTCTGGTTGCTCAACCATCCTGGCATCCTCTTGGATTGATGGAAGTTCTAAAAGGAAGGTCATAGAAGGATATTCAGGCATATTTCAATTGAAATCATTTAGAAAACACAGTGACTACAGCATAGAAAGTTAAAATTCTCTTTCTTTTCTTCAACAGTGAACAGGCACATAAAGCAGACCCTACTGTCATTTTCCAGTAATCATAGGGTAGTGAGTTTGGTTTTTGGTTTTAAACCACACATGCACATCTCTCTTACACATGAGTATATATAGAAGTCATGGTTCACAATCTCATCTCATTCTCTGGTAACAATATATTCTGGTTTCGTACCTTCTGTTTCCATATATGAACTGTGGGACTCTGTCTCAATTTTTACTTCATTCTTCATTGAATCATTCTCTTTTCCTGTTAAGAACAATGATTGGAAAATAAATGTGATATGTATGACCATAGCTTTGTGCCTGGTTTTAAAAAGCAAAACCTTCATAAACTATACTTTAATCATGCATGGAGAGATAGAGTAGGTTTGAGTCAAAGTGGAGGGTGAAGATAACATTTTCAACCCTATATAAATTATTTTATAAGAAATATTAAGAAAGTTTCGGCAATCCTACTTCTGTAGTGATACCTCTCGGAAACCCAAGGAGGGGTCGCTATGAGTCAGGCCGACTCAGCGGCACATAACAACATATCAATTATTTTATAAGAAATATACAAATAATTTTGGCAAAAATAGCTTCTTTGAATTCAGAAAACAAAAACAAAAACAAAGAAACTTCACTGCTGTGGAGTCGGATCTGACTCATAACAATCTCTCCTTGGGTTTCCCAGGTGGTGGTGGTGGTTGTTGTTATGTGCCATCCAGTCAGAACCCTCATAGCGACTCCTCCTTGGGTTTCCGAGGCAGTATAACTACAGAAATAGATCGCCCACCCCATCTTCCTTCCGAGGAGTGACTGGTGGGTTTGAACCGCCAGCATTCTGGTTAGCAGGCAAATGCCTTAGGCACTACGCCACCAGAGCTCCCTTCTTTGCACTAGTTGAGGTAATTAGTATTTAACTTATTAGTGCATTGGGCATGTATGGAGACATCCTGGACAATTTGAAAATTTGAATAATTTCTAGGTGTTGGACCCGAATTTGGAAAGGAGTGTCGGCGCGAGGAACGTGACACTGACTCAACAATGCAAAAGCAAAGGAAAAGTTTATTTCCAAGCTCGAGCTGGGGTCTCTGCTTACACCGATGCAACGGCTTGGGCAAAAGACCCCCGGCTCCTTTTGTTCTACATATTTGTAGGATTTCCAGGGGGCAGTTACACAAGGTGGGGCTGAATACCAATGATTGGTGCAGGGGACAAGCTCTGCTATTTGGTGGCGACTGATAGGTGCAAGCTCGGGACTTTCCAGATTCTGTTGAGGAGGGGGTCCTCCCTCGGGACTTTCCAGATTCTGGCTTCTCTGATTGGTGTCTGCATATCAGTGATTTCTTATACTAAGTCTATTCTAGTAAACCGAAACTTAAGTAAGAAAAAATGAAACTTAGGCCTGGTAATACCTTGAGCCTTACCTAAATTATTAGTACAAAAACAAGTTAAGCTAGAAACTAGAGCTAGTCACAAAGTTATTTGAGTAAATATAATTGCTACTTAACTTATATATGTATTTCCACAATTCCTAAGTGATCAGTAAAATAAGTTCAGTACCTAAGGTTTTCTATTAAGCTTGTTATATTCTCTAAGCAATAAACTGGATATTTAAGTAACAAACTAAGATTACTATGTTTCTAACTTTGTTCCCCTTACACTAGGCTGTAAGAGTTAAGTACATTTAAGTGTCCTTTATGACCTCTGTTGGTGTAGTGCCTAAGGCATTTGACTGCTAACCAGAAGGCTGGCAGTTCAAACCAAGCAGGCACTCCTCGTAAGGAAGATTGGGCAACCTACTTAGAATTACCACCTGGAAAACCTAAGGAAGGGTCGCTCTCAGTCGGACTCAACTCCATGGCAGCGAGTTTGTTATTTTTTAAAACCCTTCCAACTTTCATTCCTCTGTCAACAGAGAAAAGGAATAAAGTGAGCACAAAGGAATTGGTTGGCATAACAGCTCAATCATTCTTTTAAGAAAGCTGCTAAATATAGCAAAGATCAGGAGAGAATTTAGCCAACTCTGGATTACTCTGAGGCTGATTATCTTGTAATGTTTTTTTTCCCCCCTACACCCCTTGGTTTCTCTCCCCTGCCCTCCCCTGCAGAGCTTAGAACACTTAAGTGCTCATTAAGAGAGGAAACTGAAATCTGTCCATTTTGCCCCTTGCTAATGAAAGAATTTGTGCTAAGGATATTTAACTATTGTATTAAAATAAATAGCAATCTTGCCAGAGGTAGGGTTGGTTAGGAACACAAAGCAGATGCAGAGGACCTTGGGTTCTTTGACTGGTTACATCCCTGTGGTAGATTACATCATTCCTCCAACTTTTCTCAACTCCTTCCTATACCAAAAAAAAAAAAAAAAAAGACCCAATGCTAACTCATGAAAAACCCATACATTATAACAAAGAACAGCTTCATAGTTTTTTTTTTTTTTTCAGTCTGTATTCTTAATGGAAGTATATCACCAGGCTTTTTTCCTACAATACCATTAAACCCAAAACTAAACTCACTGCCACTGAGTCAATTCTGATTCAGAGTGATTCTCATTGGATTTCCAAGGCTGTAAATCTTTATGGAAGCAGACTGCCCCATGTTTCTCCTGTTGAGCAGCTAAGGGTTCAAACCACTGACATTGTGATTAGAAGCCAAATGCCTTAAGCACTACACCACCAGAGCTCCTTGAAGTATCACTCACTCACTGCCGTCGAGTTGGATCTGACTCACAGTGACCCCTCCTTGGGTTTCCAAGGCAGTATCGCTATAGAAGTATATTGCCCAATGTTCCTTCTGAGGAGTCGCTGGTAGGTTTAAACCACCAGCCTTCTGGTTAGCCCTCAAATGCCTTAGGCGTTATGCCACTAGAGCTCCTATCTCTAGATGGATTCAAACCACCAAACTTTACGTTTAGTAGTTAAGCATAAACCATTTGAACTTCCTGTGAAAGTATCCTATTTCTTTGTCTATGGACGTAGGCCTGGAATGCCCCTTGTAGGATAGTAAATTCCCAGCCAATTTATACGAGGTTTTGTCCATGTGACTAAGTTCAGAAGATGGCGTAGGGACAGGCATGATGTGTACTGCATTTGAGTAGAATCTACAAGATCATTATGCATGCTTTTTGAGATGCTCTGAAATTATCAATGTATACATCACTGTGATGCATTCTTCTATAATACTTTTTACATTGTTATGATGCTTTTTATAATGTATTTAAACACATATGTGTAAGTGTATGTATATGTATGTCACTTATATGTGAAGCTACAGATAGAGAATTTCTGAACATAGAAACATATTTCTATGATGCTCTCTAATCATTAACTGTAAGTCATTAGAAGCAATAACTACATGTCATTAGAAAGTTGTTCTAACCTTGGAAATAGATGATAGAATTATATGAAATATGTAGTAAACAAGGATATAAATATGTCATATAACAACCTCCTTAATTTTTAATAAATCAGATGTCTATAAATTGGCCTTGGGACATAAATATACCATACAATTATTTCCTTAATTGGCAATAAAACATACTAATAATTCAAAATGACCTTGAGACATAAATATGTCATACAATAATTTTCCTAATTGGCAATAAAACATACTAATCTTGGTTGAACATGACAACACCTAACCCTTATCTTGTGAAGTCAACATAAAGAAATTAAGTATAAATTTTAGGTTTATGCTCACTTGCTGGAAAAGACGACAGCAGCAAAAGGTTTCTCTGACTCTTGTTTTCTCTGAAGACTGAAAGCCTGCTGAGATACTGCCTGCCACAACCAACCTTGGACGCTAGCTAGAGAAGACCTCTTCTGAGTTTGAGGGGTGGTCAAGTCTTTCTCCCTAAGATCACTTGTTAAGGGTAAAAACCTGAAGTCTAAAGATGTGGACTCTAACCATTAAACTAGCATTGTAAATATTAATTCTGATTCTTCAGTGTCAATATAATGTCTTGGAGTCTTACTTACATGCCTTGCCCTGACTACCTTACAATAAACTAAAGGAGTTTATGCAAGGCAAACCTGATCATTTCTTTACTTATTCTTAAGAGAAAATATGCCAGGAAAAAAGATCTATTGCATTCCATTTCCTTCAGCTTTCTTTCTTCTCGTAATGTGCTCCTAAGCCTAGAACAGAGCCAAGTAAAGCCAAGCAAAGCCACAGAAAACTTTGTGGTCGTCAACAGAACTGTTAGAGTTAACTTGTTACAGCAGTAAAACTGACTTATAGACTCTTTCACCTTTATAATATCTTCCTTTCTCATATAACTATTCTTCAATTGCCCACTATACCAGTGATGCCACAGGATGGGTGGGGGGTTGTAGACTACACCAGGTGACACTGTCAGAGGAGGTGACAATAAACTGTCTATAAAACTTTCATTCAGTGTTTCAGCAGAAATGTATCATTTTTTAATAAAAATGCCCTTACTTATAACAATAAAAACATTTTTCATAAGCCCAGCTTACATATATCAATATCAACCTACAAGGCTAAATCTGTATGCTAATTCACTTTTTGAAACTTCTAGTGTGCCCTGACACATAACAAGAACAACAACAGTGTGCCCTGATTAGAGTTCTCACTATTATCCAATTACAATGTGCTTCAAAATCATGTGTTTTTGTCTGCATGTGCTACTGTTTTCATGGGAGCTC